ATTTTCAATTCTGTTCAATGTACTTGTGTATTGCTCTGCATCAAAACAGCAGTAATCTCAGAGGACTCTCTGGGTCTGAGGGGAAAGTTGTGGATTCACACAAAACATATAAGAGAATCAAACATATTGACTGATTTTGAGAAGGGTGTGTAAGTAAGTAAGTAATGTTTTTTTATATAGCGCATTTTACAGACCAAGGTCAACCAAAGCACTTTACAATGTTCAGTGTTCAGATATTGTTCCAATCATTCTCCACACGGTGATGACGGAAGCGAGTCACCGAACAAACTGGCGCATCAGCCCCCAATCAACACCATCCATTCACTCTCTCATTTACATTCATACCTATTGTGCATGTTTTTAGGGGTAGGGGAAACCGGAGCACCCAGAGGAAACCTACACAGACACGGGGAGAACATGCAAACTCCACTCAGAAAGGCCCTGTTCCGACCGGGATTCAAACCCTGGACCTTCTTGCTGAGAGGCGAGAGTGCTATCCACTTAGCCACCGTGCCGCCCCAGCTGTTTCTTTCAGCTTTGCTCCACACCTTTTAATATAAACCCATGATTGAATTAGTCAACCACTACATTTTTGTACTGACTCAGACACCATCAACTAAACAACTAGAGCCCAACTTTTGTTAAATGGTTAAAAGGTCCTGAAAGTGAATTTATTTTTTATCCTTGGTGGAAACACTGCCATCAGGGCTCAGAGTCACATGTGGAGGATTGTTTAAGACCAGCTCGGACTGCAGCAGCTCGGAGCTCGGGAGGAGGCCTCGGATTTATTTGTGTGTATATGGGGACTCGGACTGCAGGACATGCTCCTGACCTCTGAACACTGTACCACGGGAGGGCCAGTGTTTCTAAAGGGATAAATCAATGAGAGGTTCAGGGCCAACACAGAGGCTGCTGTCTGACACAAAGATGTCAATACACGGAGCAACAGTCACAGTATTCCATTTTCTCCAGACAACTAAGGTTTGACTGTCAATGTAATCTTCTATTGTAATAGTAAACAGTAAATCAACAATGTTTCAAAGAATTCTGGATATTTTTGGACAAAGAAACCACTGTTTGATTATAGGGCTCTCAAAGGCTTTGGAATCTACTACTGTGAGTTTATTTTGTAAAATGTAAGTAGAACGGAGATCAGTTCATTCTTATTGGAAATCATTCAAAAGTAATGATTTCTATTCTTTTTCAATGTTAAAAGTGATCATTATTTGACATTTCAGTTTTTTGTATTGTCCCATTCTCATCCTTGCCTTTGTTTATGAATAACGCATGTTGTTTGTCCAAATGTTGTGAACACATTCGACCACAACATGCTGTCTTCATCTGATGCATAAGAAAGAACCCTGAGACAGTATTTGACCAGAGAAAGACCGGAGAGAGAACAGAGAAAGACCAGAGAGAGAACAGAGAAAGACCAGAGAAAGACCAGAGAGAGACCGGAGAGAGAACAGAGAAAGACCAGAGAAAGACCAGAGAAAGACCAGAGAAAGACCGGAGAGAGAACAGAAAAAGACCAGAGAGAGAACAGAGAAAGACCAGAGAAAGACCAGAGAGAGACCGGAGAGAGAACAGAGAAAGACCAGAGAAAGACCAGAGAAAGACCAGAGAAAGTGACTTTAAAATAAAGATCAAAACATACACTGTGATAAATCCAACACCTGACCTTCTGATACCCCTTTGAATGAAATTGCGAGTCCAACTGCATCTATATTTTAACATGGTTTCTAGCGATGTAGCTCAGTTAATCATATTCAGCCTGAGAAGGGTTAGCTCCGTCGGGGCGGCTCCCGGCTCGGGGCGGGCTTGCGGCTCAGCTGTTGTAATCATATGTCCTGACCTTACATATCTGAGGTCACATTCAACCACCTTAATGTCCACTGTGGAGAGGCCTCCCAGCGGTGAGGCCTCTCTGGGGGTTCAGCTCGGGTCCTCTCAGTGTTCTGTGCTCTGTGGCCTCCAGGGGGAGCTCAGGGGATGGGTATTAGTGACTTCTGCTCAGTTTAGTGAGAGTGACAGAGACGAGAGGCTGCAGGCGAGGAAAGATAACGTTTCAGACAACATTATGCAAACGTCGCGCTGGTAAACACTTGGAGCAGAGAAGAGAGGATTGTGCTGACGGAGCTGTCACAACAAACAGGATCAGGTCCAGAGGGGGGGGGGGGCACAGGGACTTGGGCTCCAGACATGGGACCAAAGACACAACTGTTCTGTCATGAAACACAGACAACACAGAAGTCTACAGTTTGTTCAACCAGCAAAGAAAACATGTAAACCTGAGGTACGTAACTTCCAAACAAAAAAACAATGGAACTACTGTATGTTTTAAAGCTGCACTAACTGACTTTGGGATTTTGAAGCCGCGGACTCGCTGGCCTCTCTCTTTCTGCTCCCCTCCCCGCACCCACGAAGCTATCGCCCCCCACACACACTCACTGTTGGGACGGAGCTAGTGTCTCCCAATATGGATAATACATGAATATGGATTTGCACGTGGATGGCGTGACCATAAAACGATAGAACCGGAAAGCGCGGAGGAATGGGACTTTCTTTTGGATGGCTGTTTCGCTAAGTAAGCAGTAACCGGTGATGAAGACACGAAGCTTCAGGTTAGCTCCTCGGCTTGTTGTGCTAACTTAGCCGTCTATGCTAACGGACCTGTAGATTTCTCACGAAAGTGGGGGCCAGTGGTCCGTTGTGATTGGCCACAATCTGCGACCCGAAACACATTCTCTTCCTTGTTTCATCAAAACTCGATCTAAAATATAATGTCACGCCAGCACAAATCTGCGCTAATTATTCTTCAAAAGGACGTATATCCCAATGCCCTACACGGACATGGATAGCATTTTCGTAATGAATACGAAAATAAAGTCAGTTAGTGCAGCTTTAATGTCTCTTTTCTTGTTTTGTTCAGCACTTTGAGTTGCCTTGTGTATGAACTGTGCTTTACAAATAAACTTGCCTCTGCCTCTATAATGATAATCAATGTATCTCATTCTTCGCTCTCAATTCAATCTGAAGAGACCAAGACAGAAACATTAATGCATGAAAAAGATTAATTTGATTGGCGCATTGACCCCGGCAGTGACACTTGCAGCGAGGAGATAATTTGCTGTTGAAGATGATCTCAGATCCCCCGGGGTCAAGCACTGGTGGTGGCTAGAAGCATGGTGTGAATGGGGCGCAGGCGGAGCAGGAGCCAGAGCAGGAGCCAGAGCTGGAGCCAGAGCTGGAGTCAGAGCAGGAGCCAGGACAAGAACCAGGGCAGGAGCCAGAGCGGAAACACGAATAGGAACCAGGAGCTGAGGAGGCGCTGGGGAGGTGCTGGGTGTTAAGAGCTTCAGGAAGGGCCGTTTATCGGGGAGTGGCTGCTTATAAACTGCCCGCTTCTATCACTGGGTTGACAAGGGGCAGGCCGGGCCGTGTGACTCGGGACTTGACACGGACTCGTCCCCTAAAGACTCTGACTTGACTCGGGACTCGTTGTTTTTGGACTTTGAACATTGCAAGTCCTGACGCTCCAGATCCATCCATTTCACAGGCTGTAAAATTATCGATTCCCCTACATAGGTCAGAGAACCAAAGAATTATGGTGTGAAGTTCACAGGGCAGAGCAAATGCCCATAGGAGGAAACTGGCTCCTACGAGTTCCACAATCAGTTTGCTTTGCACATCAAGCTTGTACTACAAGTTTTAGTATCATGTCAAGTTAGAGAACATGTGTTTTCGGGTGTAAATATGTGACAAATGAGGTTGGACTTTAATCAACGGGACCTGCCTCTGAAATCAGCGACAAATCTGTTTATCTGCAAGTGACACTTCACCAAAAATTGCTTCCAGAACTACAGTTACCATGAAACAGGACTTACTGATCTTGACCTGGTGTTATTCCCATAATAAATTATGTATCTGTAAGTACAGGACTATTAACTTGCTGTATACGTCTGTTAAAATAGTTAAATAATTAGGGTCCGACATAGGGCTCTATGTGACGGTAAAGTGTAGTCTGAGGTTTGATGTGCCACTATGTACCGGTGATGTGGGCACCGAATGGGACGAGGAGGAGGGCTGTGGTCTGCGCCACATCTCTGTGCAGGTGTGGTCTGGGCCACATCTCTGCGCAGGTAAAGCAGCACAGATCCAGTCATTTCAATTGACCTCTATGCAAAAATGGCAGGTTTTGAGTGCTGTATTGTGTATTTCCCAAATTATTATCACACATGTGCTTAGGAGATAGGATGGACTGTGAAATATGAAGGACAGTGAGATACCTTTAATTAAGATTAACACTGTGGTTATAGGGGTGACAGTGGCTCAGTTGGTAGAGCATTGGCCTTTGAGCCTATAGGTTGTGAGTTCGAGCCCACCATGAAACCTTCTCCACCAACTCCCACTGATGTCTTCTGTTGTTGTCTCTGGATAGCACTCTTGCTTCTCAGCAAGAAGGTCCTAGGTTCGAACCCCCTGCTCGGAATAGGGCCTTTCTGAGTGGAGTTTGCATGTTCTCCCCGTGTACTCCGGTTTCCCCTACCTCTAAAAACATGTACAATAGGCCTCCTGTACTGGCGACCCCGCTCCCATCTCTGTGTGGAATGAGAGGACAAATGCCCACAATTGTAAACCACTTTTTGTGACTCTGGCCTGTGAAAGGCGGTATATAAATAAATAAAGATTACTTACTTACTTACTTAGTGCAATAGTTAACTCTCTCTCTCGCTTTTTCTCTGGTATCTCTCTCCCCTTCTCTCGCCTTCTCTCTTTCTGGTCTCTCTCTTTCTCTCTGGTCGCTCTCTCTCTCTCTCTGCCACAGCCACCGCTGCAGCCGCACCAGCCGCTCCATCACATGCCTCTCACAGCACTTCAAAGAGCCTTGTGTTTTTGATGCCATAACTCTCAGTCTGCATCTCCTCCCACTTCACTGCGTGTGCATTCCTCCTGTGTCTCCTCTCAACAGTAATTGCCTTCAAAGCCAATTAGGAGAAATGATCAGCGACGGCTGTGGAGCTGGAGGATTCTGCAGCGGTCAGGGAACCGTCCTGGAGGTCAGGGCCATCAGCTGTGAGGCTGTAGGAACGGGCTGTCGCCGTGACCCCTTGCTGCCTTTGAAGGCAACAAGGGGTCACGGCGACCTACTGGTATCTGCTGAATATCTGCACAGGTATTACAGACAGAGTAAAGAGCGAGTTTTGAGATTACCATAGGTATCACAAAAAGGGACAAAAATTGCTAGTTTTGATCATTGGGGACTGCCTTAAAGCTGGTGTACCATAAAACCATAAAATGCTTCAATGAGCACATCTGTCACATCTTTAGACCATATTTTTCAGACAGAAAAGTTAAAAAGAGAGGACCACCCTCCCTCACTCATTATATTCAGATCCAGATGTGTTTAGTGGTAGGGGAAACTGGAGCACCTGGAGGAAACCTACACAGACACTGCTAAGCCTCAGTTCTGGATCTACAGACAAATTTCTGGATTTGCACTATCAGTCCTGGATCTAGAATGAATGAATTTTATTAAGGATGTCATAGTAAATACAATATCACATATACAATACATAGTGATAAAAAAGATTGACATCAATTTCCTAAATTTTCCTAAATTATATTAATTAATGCTATTGAAGTTGATCTCTTTGCTCTGAATCCATACTGATAATCAGAAAGTACTTTGAGTTTCTCTGTAAATGTTCCCAATTGATTGTTGAACAGTTTTTCTAGTATTTTTGAAAATTGTGGAAGTATTGAGACAGGTCTGTAGTTTGTGAATACATGTCTGTTGCTGGCTTTGTATAATTGAATAACCTTTACCATTTTCATCTTTGTGGGGAAGATGCCTGTTTGGAATGATAGATTAAAATTCTAAATCAAAATTATATTTATCAGTCTTTTTATTACTGTTGTATCCAACACTTGATAGTCAGTTGAGGTTTTGTTCTTGCATTTCTGAACTACACTGAACTCCAAATGTTCAACTGCTTTGAAAAACATTGTATGTGGATTTGTGTTTCTGAGAGGCCCTTCGCTCTCTTCATTAATTTTATTGTCAGGGATTTCGCTTGCAAGCTCTGTTCATATGTTCACAAAAAATCCTCAAATTTATGGGCAGCTGAAATCATATGTGTCATTATCCATAAAAACTTTGGATGATTAGTCTTCGTTTTTTATGATACTAATCAAAATGTTCCATACTTCCCTTGTATTACTTTTATTTATTTCCAGTAATTCTTTATAATATTATATATGTATATTTTTATACATTTTATATTTATTTTTCTTCAAGAACCCTTGATATAAGTTTTTCTTCTTTTTACAGGAATTGACCAGTCCCCTTGTAGTCCACGGACTCTCTTTTGATTTTCTTTTACTCTTACAAGGAATTAGTGGGCAAAACTCATCATACAATAACAAAAACATTTTGTAAATTGCATCATATGCACTGTTTGCGTCTGATTTACTGTACAACATAAATCTGCCCAGTTTTGAGTGAGTGGAGCGTTTATAAATGCATTCAGAGTTACTTCAGTTTAAATTCACCTATATGTAATTTGGTTATCTGAAGCTGCATTTTTTTGTATTCTTGTGATAACCTGTAAATACTCGTAAATCATCTAAAATATCAGTAACCAGAATACCACTTTGCAACCAATCCTTCACCCCATTTGTAATGATGTTGTCAATCAGTGTATCACTATGTGAAGTAATTCTGGTTTTGTGATTTGGGGAAATCATCTCATGCTATACAGTACATTGTATTTGAGATTCCCTAAATTTAGCAGATCTATACTATAATCCCCAGATACTTTTGTGTTTTTTGAGAGAAGGTTTCCTCTATCTCAATTGATATACATTCCATCATGTTATCAATAACCCTTGTCATATCATCCATATTTGTGAATTTCAGTGAGTTCTGCACAACTCCTTATTCCCTTATACTGTCTATTTACATGCATGAATTCCAAGCCTTCTAATGCAAGAAATTTTTCTCCTGGTAGCGGATGACAGGGCCTCAATGTGACAAGAGTCCATTGTAATGGAATTAAACACAGGACCTTCTTGCCACCCGATGTGTACATAACCACAGACGGGCCGTGGTCTTCACATCAGCCCAAGCCTCACTTCAGTCACAAACATAATCCTGGACGTGTTTGGTTAATTTGTCCGCTTGGCTTTAGCTGCTGTAACTTCACAGTCTACTTTAGCTAACGCTGCCAGGGCCATTCCACTTTGGAGCCTTTGCGAATCCCTGGTTGGAAAATACATGTTTGAGTGAGCGAGCAGGATCAAAGCGGCGATGATGGGATCAAAGCCCAGCATCACGGAGCTTTGGTCACATCCGTGTTGTTTACATGCATGCTAAAGGCACTCACACATCAAATATTACTAACTCTGAAAGATAGATGCGTATTTGGATGTCACTTTTGAAGTACAGCCGCGCGTTTGGGGGATAATTTTCACAAATCTCCTTCGCAATTTCACAACGATTTTGTAAGCTCTAAACAAGATCATGCGAGAGCGGGCCTCACAAACTGTGTGGAAACGCTCGCCCCAAAACACGACATTAGAGTAGAGTCAGTGTGATTACAGCAGCAGTAGCTCCCTGTAGGTATGAACGCAGTGTCAGGGATCAAACAAGCACAAGGTCTCTCTGCCCCAAAACATGTAAATACTGGAGTGGACATGGAAAACATAGATTAACATATCAGGGCTTTAAAGACGGGACCTGGGGGCAGCAGAAGCAGTAGAGGCCTCAGGCGAGAGGAGGGAGCATCAAACATCAGAACTTTATATTAGGAGCCACTGAACACACAACTTTATTAAAGCTGGAGTTCCTCAATTTAAAGCCACAGAGAATAGCCATGTATTTAAATCCATGTAACTGTAGTTACACGTCCTTGCTCTAAAGCAGCTCTAGCACTAGTTTTCATAAGCTGCACATTTCAAATCTGTCACATTAAAAGATAATGATAAAGATGGGGTGTTGTGGTCAGGTTCACAAAAGGGCCATATTGAGAGAGGGATCCGCTCCCATGGTTCCCTGTAGATCCAGGACTGAGGCTGTAGATCCAGGACTGAGACTGTAGAACGGGGACTGAGGCTGTAGATTGAGGATAATAGCCTCTTTTAGCTCAAACATTAGATTTTCTTAAAATCCGTGCCTGAGTAGAATTTCTTTTAAGTTGTATTTTTGAGGAACTCAGATGAGATATATCCATATTGTTGATATTGGGGTCTTCTCAGTTCTACCTGCCCCATGCCCTGCAGGTACAGACTGTGGAGGACACATGGGAGTCGACCCCCTCTCCTCCCCCTTCTTAACCCCCATGTGTCCCCTCTGAGTGCAGTGCAGCTGACCCAGGCAAGAGCCAAGAGAGAGCAGGGGATACGGGTGTAATCTGGGTCTGTTTAATCATTCCTTATTAGATTTGAGGGGAATATAAAATGCAAAATTGACAAACCTAAAAAATCTATTTGTTGTGAGTGCTTTTCATCCTGCCATAACCTTCATAAAAACAACATGTCAAGAATGTTGGGAATAAATGATAATCATGTATGACAGCCTCAGTCCTGGATCTACAGCCTCTTCTGAGGCTGTAGATCCAGTAGTTTCTGTAGTTTCTGAGTGGTTCTTTGCTGATGCAGGTGGGTCTGAGGACAGTGATGATCCAGGATATTCCTGCACATTTATTAACATTTCTGGACAGTGGTCATCCCGCTTCCAGTGGACCAATTGTTACTCTGAGTTTGTTATTATTGCATTTCCTGTGTTCAAAATGTTTGATTCTCTGATCTGCTGTTATTGTATCAACAACTTTGTAAAGTCCTCCGAGATGACTGCTGTTGGGATTTTTGGATGATACATAAATACATGGATATTACCACATCTGTACCTGCTCTCGACTTACTCCACACACAAACTAAACAAAAGCATACGTCTGAACTCACACAGACCGCTGCTCCTGTCACACCAGATCTCATCCAGCGTCTGCGACCAAATAGAGCAGTGAAGGACCCTGATGTGTTGTGTCACCTCTTCCACTCCCATGAACACTATGAACACCATCCACTGCTCACTCTGCCGCAGGCAACTTGGGCAGTGCCCTGAGCAGCTCGCCTCTCTGCACCCGGCTCACGACATGAGACCGGCCCAAGCCCTGGATTTCACACCTGAAATATATCTGTCACTGAGCTGGTGTGAGGGGGGCTCGGGCAGAGCTGGGGCTGGAGAGGAGGAGGACTCTTTGGTCTCTCTCTGGTCTCTTTGTGGTTTTCTCTCTGCTCTCTCTCTGGTCTCTATGTGGTCTTTCTCTCTGGTCTCTATCTGGTCCTTCTCTGGTCTTTCTACTCTCTCTCTGGTCTCTCTCTTTTGGCTCTATCAGATCCCTCTATTTATCCAGGTGCAGTATACAATCAATTTTTCTATATATATATATATATACATATATACGTAAATATGTATGTATGAATGTGTGTATATACATATTAAATAAATTGATTTGTGCTATTGTATTATTTCAATGTAAATTTTCCTTATTTTATTATTTATTTATTTTTTACCTTGATATCTTATATTTGACAGAGCGGCGCGCTGTGAGACAAGCCTCACTTGAGAGACGTAAAAGCCCATAGCTCACAGGGGGGGAGGCCCGTGCGCTGCTATCGAAATGTTTTCTCTGTTTATCGTGGTTTACAAACATATTTCAACAGTACACAGAGCATTGTGCTCTGTGTACTGGGTGCAGCTCTGACTGCCACCCCCCCCCCCGACCCAGAAATGGATTAAGGGGAAGAAAATGGATGGATGGAACATATTTCCTTTACAATCAACATGTCTACAGTTGAGAGGATGGGTCATAAATTGTGTTTTTGACAACAAATATGGGTCTTAATCGCGCTCAACCACAGCTTGTAATATCACCAAATGAGGCCAGCCTCAGGGTAGGGGGCGCTTGTGAGCCCAGAATTCGACTGCATCCAATTTAATCAAAAAGCTCCTTTCTTGTTCTTCTTCTGCTAAGGGTAACAACAGGTTTGGCCAACATACATATAACACATTTTTAGATCATTTAAAATGCACTTAGGGTAATTTTATGCTTCCAATGATGATATGAATGATAAAGAGAGGTGAAGGGTAAGGTTGATTTTAGAAATTGGATGCACCCGAGAGTCGGCTGCAGTGAAACAGGAGAGGAGTTTATGGAGGAGACACCATGGATCTATTAAAATACAGTGCCTTGCGAAAGTATTCGGCCCCCTTGAACCTTTCAACATTTCGCCACATTTCAGGCTTCAAACATAAAGATATAAAATTTTGATTTTTTTGTCATGAATCAACAACAAGTGGGACACAATCGTGAAGTGGAACGAAATTTATTGGATAATTTAAACTTTTTTAACAAATAAAATACTGAAAAGTGGGGCGTACAATATTATTCGGCCCCTTTACTTTCAGTGCAGCAAACTCACTCCAGAAGTTCAGTGAGGATCTTTGAATGCTCTAATGTTGTCCTAAATGACTGATGATGATAAATAGAATGCACCTGTGTGTAATAAAGTCTCCGTTTAAATGCAACTGCTCTTTGATAGTCTCAGGGTTCTGTTTAAAGCGCAGAGAGAACCATGAAGACAAAGGAACACACCAGGCAGGTCCGAGATACTGTTGTGGAGAAGTTTAAAGCCGGATTTGGATACAAAAAGATTTTCCAAGCTTTAAACATCTCCAGGAGCACTGTGCAAGCAATTATATTGAAATGGAAGGAGTATCAGACCACTGCAAATCTACCAAGACCCGGCCGTCCCTCCAAACTTTCATCTCAAACAAGAAGACTGATCAAAGATGCAACCAAGAGGCCCATGATTACTCTGGATGAACTGCAGATAACTACAGCTGAGGTGGGAGAGTCTGTCCATAGGACAACAATCAGTCGTGCACTGCACAAATCTGGCCTTTATGGAAGAGTGGCAAGAAGAAAGCCATTTCTCAAAGATATCCATAAAAAGTCTCGTTTAAAGTTTGCCACAAGCCACCTGGGAGACACACCAAACATGTGGAAGAAGGTGCTCTGGTCAGATGGAACCAAAATCAAACTTTTTGGCCACAATGCAAAACAAAATGTTTGGCGTAAAAGCAACACAGCTCATCACCCTGAACACACCATCCCCACTGTCAAACATGGTGGTGGCGGCATCATGGTTTGGGCCTGCTTTTCTTCAGCAGGGACAGGGAAGATGGCTAAAATTGATGGGAAGATGGATGGAGCCAAATACAGGACCATTCTGGATGAAAACCTGTTGTAGTCTGCAAAAGACCTGAGACTGGGACGGAAATTTATCTTTCAACAGGACAATGTTCCAAAACATAAAGCCAAATCTACAATGGAATGGTTCACAAATAGACGTATCCAGGTGTTAGAATGGCCAAGTCAAAGTCCAGACCTGAATCCAATCGAGAATCTGTGGAAAGGGCTGAAGACTGCTGTTCACAAACGCTCTCCATCCAACCTCACTGAGCTCGAGCTGTTTTGCAAGGAAGAATGGGCAAGAATTCCAGTCTCTCGATGTGCAAAACTGATAGAGACATACCCCAAGCGACTTGCAGCTGTAATTGCAGCAAAAGGTGGCGCTACAAAGTATTACCGCAAGGGGGCCGAATAATATTGCACGCCCCACTTTTCAGTTTTTTATTTGTTAAAAAAGTTTAAATTATCCAATAAATTTCGTTCCACTTAACGATTGTGTCCCACTTGTTGTTGATTCTTGACAAAAAAAATATTTTTTATATCTTTATGTTTGAAGCCTGAAATGTGGCGAAATGTTGAAAGGTTCAAGGGGGCCGAATACTTTCGCAAGTTACTGTAACTGGATAGGGTATTACTAGCTTGGAGCTGAAGAACCCACGTGTTCGGGGGATTCTTGCGGTACTGCAGACTAAACCAGACAAAATTCACGTGGGCTACCCAGAAATTTTCCCCATAGATCTCAATGTAAACTAAAACAGCTCAACCTCAGCTGACAGAGAACCTACAGCTTTCATAAAGATCGGATTTTGTGGGGATTTTTGTGTCCCTTGTCATCCTAAAAAAAAAAATCTTCAAAAATCTTTTGGTTTTCTTTAAAGCCACACTTTACTGCCACATACTCTGCTCGTTTCCTTCCTGCTCTGGCTCCGCTCTGGCTCCGCTCTGCCACTGCTCTGATCAGCAGCGCTGATCGGTCAAAACGCGGCCGAGCCCCTCTGTACACGTGCATGAGAGCCACACACGCATATTTGGCGCAACGCCTCATGGGAGCTCGTCCACTGTGCAGAACCGGGAGGACCAGATGATGCCGAAATATAGGCGAGTTCCGCTATTATGCCAACACCGGTGAAGTCCCATGCGCTACTGAGCACAAGCCATTCATTTGAATAGGGCGCCATCTTGGATCACCGGGGCTTGAGGGCGATACACAAAGAAATGTATTGAATTTTGTTGAATTTTTAGGAAATATGATAAATTAATTTGGATAATGTGAAATAATAGCTTTAAAAGAAAACATATGGTGAAACAAGTATGAAGGATAAATAATGTTTTCTGCCTTTAACTCCCAGTGGGGGTGGGTCCCAGCTCAAAAGTGGCCAAAATGATGTGTGCTGACATGCATCAGGCCGATGGGGGTTGACCCTGGTTAAGAATTAGCCAATGCTAACATATTGCATCTTCTTACCTATCAAACATCTTTACAGGATGGTCCAAAAGGTGGCTCTTGGCCCAAAGCTCCGTTCCACATGTGTGTCATTGCTGAGGGGAGTGAATTTCTTTGGACCACGCTAGTATAGTTGCTGTGAATTTTTGAAGGCACTCGTTAAATGAATGGGGCTCGCGCCAACTGACGCATGTGCAGATGCTTTTTTTCACAATTTTCTTGTGGGCGGGACCACTCACGGCCATTTTGGATCGCTCCAGTAGAGCACAATTTTTTGCCCATTTGTTTGAAAGGCGGAGGTAGGCGTGACTATGTCCGACTATGGTAACTCCCAATGCTATCACCAGAGAGAGCTGGGCCTGCTCTCTCTGTAACTCCCTTTTAATTCCCTTTGCTGCCACCAGAGGGAGCTGAAAAACATTGTATTGAAAAAGATGCCACACATCCACTTGGTCTTCATGATGACCTGGACCTGGACCCGAGCATCAAAGTTGTGGGTTCTCTCTTCAACAGCAGTGAGAGAGAGTTTTCTGCCTCCTACTGTCTCCTATTTAGGACGTGATATATTTTTTTTGTAAATCCAAATATGAACCATGTATATGGACTGACCAAACCTATCTATCTATCTATCTATCTATTGCCCTTGTGTAGTCTTGTCTTGTTGTCCGTGGAGGTCCTGAGTGAAGGGGAGGGGGCTGGTTGGGGTGATGA